CTTGCTCTTGGGCTCATGGTCCTTGGGCTTCTTGACAAAAGCACATTTGATGATGTAAAGGCTTTTGCTCCCCACAAAATGATCCGGTGTGGCACAGATCAACTAAATCTTTCTGTGAACACACTGCCAGCAGGAGTACGTGAGACTCATTGCAATCTGGGTTCAGAACCACAGCCCAAAAATGAAAGCCATAAAGGCAAATGCACATAGCAATTTCTGAGTGTTTTTCTTTGAAATTTGATGTTGAAATAAAAATACTTTTTCACAGCCCTGAATGGCTGGCGTCTTTTCATGCATAGCGTATGATATAATTGATATTCATTGAGTTCCAATGTTTCGGAGGAAAAGCTGGTTCTCCCCTTGCGGAACAGAACTGCTCATTATCATTTTCATTTCAGTGGAAAAGAAGATGAGGGAAGTGTAATTAATTTGACACAGATAATTCTGGGTTGAGCATTTCAATCTCAACACCATTTTAAGGCCTCCGCATCATTGAAAGTTCTTTGTCCTCGTTTGTACTGCTCGCTCTCGCTATCCTTTCTGGTACAAAGCCATCGCCTGTTGGTCCCTTTTCTAGATCTGTGTCATCAGCGGTTCAACTACCATGGACCTCTTGGTTAAAGCAAGATGCTGGATAGACGTGCATGCTGGATTTTTCTGTTGAGTCCTGAGCCTTGCCAGTTCCTCATACCCTCTCATATCTTTACCTGCAAACTCTTCAGAAACACGGTTACCATGGGAGCTGCTCCTAACCCTTACTTAACAAAGGCTTTTGTCCATCCTCCCCTGCTGCCGAGGGTGAGATAGTATTTCCCCATGTAACCCTAGATAGCCTGGAACTCACTATATAGGTCAGGATTACTAGGGATTTGCAATAATCCTACCTCAACCTCTCAAGTGTTGGAATTACAGGCATGAGTCACTCTACTTGACTGCAATCACTTTTTCCTGTAAAAAAGTCCTTTTACAGGAACAGATAAGCTGCCTTCAGGACCTCTATTTAACAAACCACTTACCCCAAGAGACATTCCATCTCTGCAGAGGCAGGGCTCTGCTCTCTGACAGGACTTTCCTAAAGATCCTTTCCAGAGTGGAGAGATATTACTAACTAGACACACAGCCATTGCTGAGTTCTGAAACTGGGACATACTGTATCAACCGTGACATTCAACAAATATCGATTAAGTATTGTTTGGCTTTGGCAAGGGGAGGAGCTTCCAACAGACAGAGGTCCCTGCCTGTTAAATATTTACTTCTTAAAATCCAAGGTAGAAAGTATTGTGTCCTTCAGTTCAAGTCTACACGGTTGTGCCCCGCACTGTGTCTGGGCAAGGAATCTACAGATGGGACTGTCCCTTTCCAAATGTGTTTTCTGCTTGGTTTTGTTGGGGGCTGAGGAGGAGAGACCTTCCTTTGAGTTTGTCAAGGTCACCTAAGCAATAAGTTCAGGAAGGCCCCAAACCCTCCATGTTCTTTAAGTCTCCAAGGTAGCAGAGTGGCAGCTTCCATCAGAGGACCAACTTCTTTCTTCCCAGCGTGCACTCCTGCTCACTAGCATCTCCATCTAGAACCCTGCAGAGCACCTGTAATGGCAGCTGCTTCTTGGGTTATTTCTGATGACCTCAGCAAATCATCTTTCTCACTATCACCAATGAGGTCACAAATCTCAATGCTCCATCCCCTGCTGGAATCTCTCTTCTGTTGTTTCTCTTTCCCCAAACCTTCTCAATGGCAGCATCTTCCACTGTTGATGCAGGTCTCTGGAGGAGAGCCCTCCAAGGCTTTGCAAGGACTCTGGAGATTTCCTCGCTAACCATTTCTTGAGTGGAGTAAAGAGGTTACCAGCTGGCCCCAGGAGCTATGCTGGGAAATCTGTGCGGCAGATGCTCGCATCCCTGTCTTCCTGCCTCTGCGGATTGTTTTGTTACATTAGTGTGCTTTGGAATTCAGCTCATGGGACATTAGCTACCAGTAAGTGTGTGTGTGTGTGTGTGTGTGTGTGTGTGTGTATCATTAAATCAACCAAGAAAAGTCTAGTGACACTTCCAACTGTAAAGACTGACACACTAAGTCCAGACCCCAATTCCATGCATCCTATTTAATAATGGGCCACGACTTCATTCCCACAGTAAACTCCAGGCTGCTGCCTGTACACGTCAGTCAGACACTGCATTCTGTTGACTCTAAACTAATTTCTCCTCTGTTAGACTTTATTTTTTCTCACAGGACTTGAGATCTGACCCCAGTTATAGTTCTAAAAGTTGAAAGCACACATTGGCACAGAAAGAATCTGGCTTTAAGAATGTCAACTTCATTTGACTCTTCCCAGATGTGGCCATTCCAAACCCCTTCCAAATAACGTGTCAATGTCATGGGTAGGCTAAGTTTAGTTTGCGTCATAATGCCCGACTGAGTCTTTTGGTTGTATTTTTGTGCAAAATTGGTTCTTACTGCTAATAACAAAAATGAGGTCAGCACTGCCAGAGAATGTCTCTTGTTCTCTGTCATGGACAATAATTGTAGTGTTGAAATCTGCCCATTGGCTGAGGTCTTCCTACGCCATTGTCTCAGAAATTTTCCTGGTGCTGTGACTGAATTCACAGTGAGAAGCAGCTTAGGGGAGGATGGGATTATTTGGGCTCACAGATTGTGGGCATACAGTCCATGGTGAGGGGGTGGGGTAAGAGACACGTGATCGTAGCGCGTCCACCGCCAGGAATCAGAGAAAACAATGAACATTTGTACTCAGCTGGCCCTCTCCTTTGTGTAATGCAGGACCCAGAACGGCGCCACCCACAGTTAGGATGGGTCTCCCCACCTTAACCTAATCTAAAAAATTCCCCTCATAGCTATACCTAGAAGCTTGGCACTTTGGTGGTTCTAGATCCTATCAAGTAGACAGTATTGACTATCACACATTTCCTGGTATTCATAGTTTATAATATTAGATTCGTGATACAATCTGGCACATGTCTGTAATACCAGTACTTGGGAAACAGAGACAGGAGGATCAGGAGTTTAAGGCCAGACAGGAGACCTTGTCTCAAAACCAAAAAAGAGACAGACAGCCACATATAATTACTGACATATTTAGTACAGTTTGAGTAGTGAAGCAGCGGTAGAAATGATATACCTGTTGTCCCTTCCCATTCTGCTTGTACATGAAAAAAAGAACCATCCCACTAACATTCCCCCTTAGTAGCTATTTTATGCTGCGATGCAGGATGTTTGATCACATTGTGTGAAGATTCTCCATCCTCACCTGCCTAAGGCACCTCCTGTTTGGTTTAATAAAGAGCTGACTGGTCAATAGTTAGGCAGGAGAAGTTGGCGGGACTTCTGGGCAGAGAGAGGAACTTGAGGGAAGAATCTGAGGTGAGGGATTTGTCAGCTAGATGCAGAGGAAGTCAGATGTGTGATACTGAGGAGAGGTAATGAGCCATGTTGCAGAAAATAGTTTAATTAATATAAACAGGTTAATTCAAGTTTTAAGAGCTAGTTGGGAACAAGCTTAAGCTAAGGCCTAGCTTTCGTATTTCATCAGAAGTCTCCATGTTGTTATTCAGGAACTGGTGGTACAAAGAGAGACCCATTACAATCCTGACCCATGAGAATGCTGATGGAACCACCTCTCTGTGCTGTGGAGCACTGATATAGTTTTTCCCGTAGACAAAGAACACACCTAGAACGGTTAACCAAACCAATTTCCAAGCTCACCTCCTAGGGTCTCTTTCAAACAGTATCAGTCTGCTCAGTCAGAACAGAAACCACACAAGAGGGCTGGAGAGATGGCTCAGAGGTTAAGAGCATTGCCTGCTCTTCCAAAGGTCCTGAGTTCAATTCCCAGCAACCACATGGTGGCTCACAACCATCTGTAATGGGGTCTGGTGCCCTCTTCTGGCCTGCAGGCATACACACAGACAGAATATTGTATACATAATAAATAAATAAATATTTAAAAAAAAAAGAAACCACACAAGAGCTTTCTTTGCTGTTTCTCTTCTTTTCCTTTCTTCTGTTGGACTCTAGTGTCCAAACCGAGAAGGAGTCGCCCCCAGAGACCACCTCATATACCACAGCCGATGCAAAAGCATGAGGATTTTATTAATTCTGTCATGACAGGGACCCTCAGCATTCGGGAAGCCGAGAGACCCCGACTAGCTGGTACAGTCTACTTTTAAAGGAGAAGACCCCATAGAAACAAGAGGGGTTGTTCCTTGACCATCATGATTGGCTTATTCGAAAAACGCTAATACCAATAATTGACTGGAGAACTATTGTCAGATCAGATGAGGTAAGAGGTCATTTTGACCCCGTTTCCCAGGGGACTGAGTCAAAACATATGTGTATGGGTAATTGTTCAGGAACTGAGTACGTGCATGTGTAGCTGTTAGGTCCTTGGTTCCCAGGGGAGGAGGGGAAGCACTAAGGCACAGAGGCTGAGAGGGTTTGGAATTGTCAGAAATGGCTTCAGAATTGTCTAAAGTCTTACACTTCCTCTCTTTCTTTCTGTCTTTCCATACCAATTACTTCACTGTTACTTTTCGTTTTTAAAAATACGTTGGAGTAACCAAATCTTCAGTCTTGCCTTGGTCACCGACATCCTCTTCCGGCCCCCGTTGACTCCTGCATGCAAGCAGCGCGCATGCACACATGCAGGCTCACTGCGGTGGCATTTGGTATGTTTCTAATAAATAAGGCCCGCCTGAAGATCAGAGAGTAAAACAGCCCCACTGGTCAGTCTCACACACCTCTAATCCCAGTAGCCACACTACTTGTCACAGAAACCGGGCAGTGCAGCCTTTAATCCCAGGGGTGCATGCCGTTAGTCCCAGCCCTAGAGAGGATTATAAAACAGGAGGAGACAGCTCTCAGACACAGTCTCATTCTGAGATTCCTGGAGGCAGGATCGCCATTTCAGACTGAGGTAGAGATAAAAGCTGGTGGCTGGCTGTTTTGCTTTTCTGACCTTCAGGTTGAACTCCAATTTCTCTCTTGGAGTTTTTATTAATTGTGCATCAGTTCACAATACACATAAACAAACAAAGATATTTCTTAAAAGAGAAAATTAGTGCAACAAGAGCAGGGCCAGCCCTGGTCTGCAGATCCAAAGGGGTGTGGCCTTCGGGGCTCTAGAAGAGTGGAGAATGAGGCCCTGCAGACTCAAAGAGGCGTGGCCTTCAGGGACCCTAGAAACTCAGAGAATGAGGCCCTGCAGAGTGGCAGCTCAGACCCCAGGGAAGGCGTTGCGTTGAGGCCTTGTGTCCTAAGCAGCTCTTGAATCTTGTCTTTGGCAACCTTGAAAATTTTGCGGTGTATCGGTCAGTCCTTTGTAGAGTTCTCCAGTACCGGAATTCCTCCCATGACTTCCTCAAAGTCGGGCTGCAGGTTTGCAAAACAAATGGTGCAAACATTAGGTTCCCATCTCACCATCACACATAAATACTCAGCGTGTTGTTGCTCTTGCGACCCCCTCTCCCCCAACCTAACCCCCGCTTTCATATTTTCTACTGCGGAGCAAACTACTGCGTGTATGTTCATAGAGTTAAAGAAATGTGTTTCCTTCTTGAAGGCGAAGGACCTACATCAATCTTCTGTCCCCCTCTGATTTTTTTTTTTTTTAATCAGGATGGACTTATTTATTTTAAGCTGTGGTGGGAATTCAGGACTGACTCACTGATTTTACCCTGCCCTCCAAACTGTTCTAGCTTTGTCCAGTCGGGCTCTTGAAACACGTATGCTGTTTGCATGTTTGTATCTGGCTTTGAGTATTTCTTTGCTTCCTTGGACTATAAGATATTTCAGGCTCATTTTATACGGTTCGTACTTTAGTTCTTTAAGAAGCACAGAGCTCCTTTAGAAACAATTCTGCAGCAATGCTTAGCTCACTGCTGTGGGGCTGAATAGCCTGGAGTGGGCTGCTGTACTGAAAGTCTCTCAACCTGAATATTCTTAGGACAGAAGACATTGGTATTCTATCAAAACTACCCAGAGCAGGTGCCAAAGTAGGAAGGGCAGGTGTTGCTCAGAGACAAGGATGTCTGCTAGCAGAAGGAAAACATCCATAATCACCAACGTTACGAACTTGATCCTGGCCACACACAAGACTTCCATTTCAGAAGTTTGGCTCAGTTTCCAAAGAAATCCATTACAGATACGGATCGGTCTGAAAGGAGTCATCCACTGGGCTGAAGAGATGGCACAGTTGGGAAGGCGCTTGCCATGGGGTCATGGAGGCTTCAGTATGGCTCCTCAACATCCATATAAAGGCCAAGCACAGTGCCACATGTCTGCAGTCCTAGCTCTGGGGAGGCGGAGGCAGGACGATCCCTGAGATTTGCTGGTCAGCTCCAGAATCAGTGAGAGACCCCGTCTGGAAAAAAATAGCTGGACGTCAATAGAGGAGGATATCTCTACATGCACCACTCCCCCACTCCCACACATGAACACGCATGTGCAAGATCATGCGCACGTGAGTGTGCACACACACAGCATTATATCCATGCCCTGTTACTGATGTTCAGGATGAATGATGACAGTTTAGAAATCCTGTAATTACCTTGAAGCTAGTGTTATTTCACTCTCTTCCGTGTGTTAAAATATTAAGTGGCTGATAAGAACCGTTTGCAATGAACTGTACTCTCCTTGACTTAAGCTGGCATCCCTTCATTTGGAAACCACTGAGAGCCTCAAATAGAGCTGGCCCAGGGCTCTCCAGGCCAGAGGCCCCTGTATATAGATTTTTCTTGTCTTCTGACAGAAATGGTTTGCTTACATCTGTACAGATGAGAACACAATTACTGTAAGGCAGGCGAGCCCGTCTGCTCTGTGCACTGGGATCTGCTCTGCAAAGGGCAGCACTTGTGTGTCCTCAGCTGCATCCTGAAGCCTTGCTCCTTCAGAAGCTTGCTTGCATTAAACATGAGATCCGGAAAGTGTGGTGGCCACAGGGAATTGCAGGCAGCTCCTCACAGCCCAGGGTGAGCTTTGCTCTGGGCTGAGAAAGCTTCCTGGGCAGGGGAGGGCTAGGGACAAATGAGGCAGTGTGCACTGCGCAAAGACTGGAACGGATTTTGGCTGGTGGGTCTGATTCTGATATTTGTGTGGGACAGGGTCTCCTGCAAGCTAGGCTGCCCTTAAACTAGCTGTGTAGTCAAAGATGACCTTGAACTCCATTTTTGTTTGTTTCGAGACACGGTTTCTCTGTGTAGCTCTGACTGTTCTGAAACTTGCTTTGTAGACCAGGCTGTCCTCAGACTCAAAGAGATCCACCTGCCTCTGCTTCCCAAGTGCTGGGTTTGAAGGCGCGCACCACCACCACCACACCCAGCTTTACCTTGAACTCTCACACAGCCTGCGTTTAGCATCCACCACCACGCCCAGTTTTTGCAGAGCCGGGGAACCAAACTCCTGGCTTCACTCTCGCTAGGCAGCACTTAACCAACTGAGCAACCGCACAGCCCCTGATTTTGGTGTGAATATTTGAGAAGGAGCGAGAGTGCTTTAAGGACTAGGACTGTTTCTTCTTAAGACCCCCGAGGAGAACGTGGACAGAGCTGTGAGGGTGTGCCTCGGCTGACCGAAGGAAGAGAACACACCCTCCACGCGCTCCGAGCGCTGGTGGGAAGTGGGAAAGCCGGGAGCTAGAATGCAAGAGAAGCGGGAAGAGGCAGGTGGGAAGGCTGGCAGAGGAGAAAGGCACTTTCGGAGACAATGCTTAAAGTGAACTCGGAGCCCTGGATCTCCATCCAAGTCGTGCCCTGCTCTGTGTGGGTTTAGTGCCCACAGCCTGGTCTGCTGCCTGGTGGCCGGACCCTGTCTTCCTGTCTCCTTACCCTGTTTCTGCTCCATAGCCAATCCCACTCTCCTAGGGAGCAATGTGACCTCAGCCCGGAGGCTTCCTCTATCTCCATCTGGCACTCAGTTTGAAAACGACAGGTTTGACTTGTTCCTGGGATTTGCTCCTGTGACCCTACCTCAGTCCTACCCTTCCACCTCAGCCCAGGTTCTGTCAAGGCTCTGCTGTGAGTCCTCAGTCACCTACTGCTGTCTCCTGAGCCGTAACACGCAGACGGTGCCTGCCGTTCAACTCTGAGGGTTGTATCGACTTAGTGCGCGCCTGGCTGCTCTGGCTTCTGCTTCTCCACACGTACCCAGCCTCCCAGGCCTCCGGATCATAATGGCTGGAATGGGCTCTACCAGCAGCTTGCTGGGCAAGCTTCCCAGATGTTCTTTAGAGAGACCATCTCTCCCTACGCGCCAGTTACAGGAGGCCCAGTCTACCCCGGTTAGACTTCCCAACTGTCTCTCGCTCCGCAGCACCCCACCGACCTTGGACTTCTACCCTCACAGAAGGATAAGAACTGTATACTGGCATTCTCCTTCCTTCCCACACCCACACCCCAGTCCTGCATTTTCTTCAAAGTGTGATAAGCTACCCTGTAGCATATTATCTCCAGCTGTTTACTCCCGACAAGAGCAAGTACGCAAACTTTGCCCCACGTTTGTGGTTCCAAGTCCGTTGCTGACATGGCAGGCAGGGGCAAACCGACACCCAGATCGGGGACCCTGATGACCCAGCATCTGTAGATGCTATCTATTTCCTGGAGGCGTAGAAGAGCCTGAATGACTGAAAACAATGGAAACAAGGTCAACCATTACCAAGTGCTGCCGCGAGGGGGCGATGGCGCCAAACGGTCTCTTCCCTTGCCAGGAAGATGCTGGATAATCTCCAAATTCTTTCCGTTCCTGGGACAGATGGCCCAGCCACGAGGCGCCTTCCGAAATCCCTACGTAAAATTTACATTCAAATAGTTATACTAGACCCGCGCTTCTCAGTGCTGGTTCTCTTTAAGAAGCTCTAAACCCACGGAAGCAGGCGCTGGGTCGAGTGTTCTTGTTTTTATACTAGTTTATTTGGAGGGGTGCCCACAGGCCACCGTGCAAGCGTGTCGGTCAGAGGACCCCTTGCGGGAATCCGTTCTCTTCTTCCACCACATGAGATGCAGGGTCGAACTCAGGTCGTCAGACTCGCCCTCAGATGCCCGGGAACGAGTTGCAGTTGGTTGCAAGCCTGAATGCTGGGAATTGAGAAGAGGTCCTTTGCAAGCCCGGTGGGTGCTCTTAACCAACGAGCCGCCTCTCCAGCTATCCATTTGCGCATTTTAAAGCTCCTTGGTGATTCTAACAAGGACCCTAAGAATCTGGTTACACAGGGAGGGGAGTGGCAAAGGAATCACGGGAGCAAGCTTTCATTTTAGAACATTCTATATCATGTTTCTCCTGTGACTTGAGACGTCACTGCTGATGTTTGGTTTTAGAATACTGTTTTGCCTAGTTCTGGAAGAGCCTGGGGAATATTGAGGAGCGTGGGCTCCATCTACAAAGAAAGCACTTATCCTTGATTGGTAAGGACCTTTCAGTTTTAGCCTGGTGGGGGAGGAGTACCCACTTCTCTCTAAGTAACCCCCTCACCTACCTCATCTATGCTCTGAATGGAAACCCCAATAAACTCATTAGTTCCCCAGAGTGGACTCTGGTGGAATTTTGCCTTTATGTCTCCCCCCAGGAAGGAATTTTAGCAACAGTGGCACAGGTCCCAGCATTGGGAGGTAGAGACCCAGGATCAGAAGTTCAAGGTCACCTTTTACCACTTAACGAGTTCAAGGCCATTCAGGTTACATGAGATCCTATTCAAAAACAGAACAAAGCACAAAACCCCAAGAATAATAATATAGAAAACTTGTGTCATAAGTTGAGCTCTGAAAGCCTGTTAGTTCAGGTTTTGTTTTGGATACAGGGTCTTTCTATGGACTCCAGACTGGCTTTGAACCATCCTTCCCCCTCCCTCAGCCTTCTGAGTTTGGGGATCACATGACAGGGAGACAGCATTTTACAGTGGTTTCAGAATGCCTGTCTGTGTGCGCCCCACATTTCAATGTGGACTTCTGCCAGGTGTGGTGGTTCATGCCTGTTCAAAGTCTTTTTCATCTATGTAGTGAGTTGGAGGCCTTCCTAAGACTGTCTTTTTTTTTTATTGCTTCTTTTTTCTTTTTTTAATTTATTCATTTATTTATAAAAAATTTTCACTTCCTCCCCTCCTCCCAATACCCTCCCATTCCCCCCTCCCTCTCCTCCTCCCTCTCCAGTCCCAAGAGCAGTCAGGGCTTCTCAGACTGTCTTAAACCAAACAAAAACACAAACAAATGAAAATAAAAGCAGGTTTCTGGGTATTGAATCTGGGGTGAGTGACATTCCCTCACCTCTCCAATGATGGCAGAGAGCTGTTCACCTGCCTCATGAGGAACAGGGATGTGTTTAATTATAGGGTTAGGGTGTGCAGGATGAGCAGTTAAGTTTTGGGGTAAAGCTCACAACCATACAACTTGCCCAGATAAATGGTTTTAAGTTTCTTCACAGAGCTGAACTTCCATTTACATAATTTTAGAATATTTTCATAAACCCCAAAGGAACAGCCAGGACCTCATAGCTATAACCAATCTGTCATCTGGTCTTTGGCAACTACAAAACTACTTCCTATTTCTTCAGGTTTGTCTGTCTCAAGCATTTCCTAGGCATGGAAGCATATTATAAGTTTGCAAACTTGGAGAAGACCTGACAGGCAACAGGCAGCACACACACACACACACACACACACACACACACAGAGGCATGCACACACACACGTACACGCACAGACATCTACTCACCCCAGATAGGGAGCCCACAACAGACCAAAGTCCAAATACCTCAAAGTCCCACTTGGTGAACCAATGCTTTTTATTGTGGTCACAGGAATATGGGTGAGAGTTTCTTAATGGAATGGAAATGACTCCATGACAGCAGTATCACTAAAGCCCACCCCAGCATGGGTGACAGGTGTCCAAAGCTGGGAACCTGGAGCACACTGCACAGGCTGCAGGCAGCTCAACAGGCTGCCAATCAGCAGCTTGGTGTGGGAGGTCCTTATGTCTCTGTGTTGCTTTTATTGGTTAATGAATAAAGAACTGCTTTCAGCCTATGACAGTGAAAGACCCCCGAGGGATGTCTTCCTTTCGAGAGAGGCCCCCGGACCCACGAATCAGACGAAACCACACTTACGGATGCAAACAGCAAGAGGTTTATTCGAATACACAGGTACCTGGGGCGACAAGGTCTCTCGGAAGACTTGCGCGCCCGTCAGGCTGGGGTGAGGGGTTTTTATAGGAGAGCAAAAGCGCGGGAACAGAAGCGAAAAGCGTGGTTATGGGGATTCATTCCATTGGTCAATTCAAATAAGGCTAAGAGTGCGCGCTCAGTGGCAAATTCTTGACCTTTCACCTAAATACCAAGGAGGGGGTTGTCCAGGAGCTTCACAGGACAAAAGGCCTCCTCCCCCTTATTCTAATGCCTTTCATTCCAACATTCAGGGTGGTATCTTTTCTTTTTTTCCTTTTCAACAGGGAAGAACAGAACTAGGTGGGGAAAACTAGGCTGTACGCCGGGAGAAGGAGGGCAGAGTCAGAGAGATGCCATGGAGCCACTACTGGAGATAGACGTGCTAAAACTTTAGCTGGTAAACCACAGCCATGTGGTGATACACAGATTAATAGAAATGGGTTAAATTAAGATGTAAGAGTTAACCAATAAGAAGTTAGAGCTAATGGGCCAAGCAGTGATTTAATTAATACAGTTTCTGTGTGATTATTTCAGGTCTAAGCATGCTGGCTGGCAGTAAACCAACAGTAGGGCTCCTCCGACAGTATCTTCTCCTAGTGGCTCTGTCGGAGCAAGCCTCTTCTAGGCAGCTCAGCTTGTCTGGATTCACTGTTTAATCTTGGAAAGGGGGCTGCTAATGAATCTGGTCAGTCTTGGGGACTTCCTGAGGCTAATTTGAGTTATGTACTTTCTTTCTTTTCTTTTTTTTAAAAAGAATATTTATTTATTATGTATACAATATTCTGTCTGCGTGTATGCCTACAGGCCAGAAGATGGCATCAGACCTCATTACAGATGGTTGTGAGCCACCATGTGGTTGCCAGGAATTGAACTCAGGACCTTTGGAAGGGCAGGCAATGCTCTTAACTGCTGAGCCATCTCTCCAGCCCTGCACTTTCTTTCTTAAGAAACTTCCCTGAAGGATAGGGTGCTTCAGTCTTGGAGGAAATAGCTACATAGACCAGGAAACACAAAGGCTATCCTGAAGGAAGCCAAAGAGTCAGCTTTTCCAGGCTTTTGTTGGTCTGGGTCTGGATTACACCACGCTCTGAAATTTCTTCAAATCCTGAGCCTCCAACAGTAATCCCCAACCTGGTTCCTCCAGGTGTAGCTGGGGTCTGTATGCACCCCAGAAACTACATTTCAAGTAAGTGGTATGAGTGACCCCAGTGTGTGGAGAGCAGTGGACCAAGCATCCACGAAAGGCACCGGGACTCAAGGTACATACTCCCTTAGCTTACCCAGTCAGCCCATCTGTAGGGAAGTGATTCCAACAGGATTTCTACCTCTTAGCCAGGTCATCCCAGTTATTATATAGACCTCCCATTCTCACAGAGTGCAAAGCCCCTGAGTAACATAGATGATGTAAACAACCCTCAGTTTCTCTGCTCCCCTGCATGGGCCTAAAAGTGGTCTAACCCCAGGGATCAGAAACGCTTCCTTTAGCTGAATTTCATTGTATGCCTTTGATTTATAGACATTTCTAGACAAGCGAGCTGCTAGCTAGGGTCTGCCTGCCGGAAGAGCCGTCCGAAAGTCTTCCAGATCCCCAGAGGAGGGCTGGTAAGGGGAGCGGGGAGCAGCATTTAAAACACAGCCCCAGCTGGTCACTGGTCTGCCACAGGCCAGGTCAACGACCTCCTCACTATCCTGTAGACAGCACTGCCTGCCCCTGGCTGCTCTTTGCAGATAAAGTCCTTAAGAAATTTGCCAGAGATGATCCATTTGGCCCCTTCGCAGCCTCTTTCCTTAGCTTTCATCCCAGCTTGCCAAGCGCTCACTCGCCACGTTGCTGTCATAAATATTTCAGAGCGACCCGCTGGGCTCAAGGAGTTGGAGAATGCTTTGTGCCATTTAGTCACAGAGGCTGGGTTTATGGAGCCGCTGGTTCACTCTGACAGGGCCTTGCTGCCTGCAGAGCCTCGGTGGGAAAGGAGGAAGATCTCCCCATTTCAAGGTTGACTAGTTCAGCCATCCTCCCCAATTGCCCATTCTAGGACATCACAAGGCTTGCTCTGCCCCCCCCCCACTCCCTTTATCTATTCATCTCTCCTTAGGAAAACCCAAACATGGTCTGCAGTATTTATTTATTTGCAGTCGAAGCTGCTCAAGCCCCATCATGAAATTGCTCTTA